CCCGGGGTGCGGGGCGACGGGGCAGCCCCGAGGCGGCGGGGACGGGCGCGCGGCCGGCGGCAGCTTCCTTACAAGGCGCTTGGCGGCCGCTCAAGCGGCGCCTCCCTCCATCCCTCCGTCCCTCCCTCCTCCTTTCCCTCCCTCTTTCCCTCCTTCCCTCCCTCCATCCGCCCCGTCCCGCGCGGCCGCCGCGCCGGGAGCCCCGTCCCGTCCCCGCCATCGCCGGGCGGGATTTCTCCGCATCCCGGCGGGATTCGGCCGCGGGGACGCGCGGTTCCTCCCCGTCCCACGGCAGCCCCTGCGGGGGGGCGGCGGGCGGGTCCCCCCGCCCCGGCGCCCCGCGCAGCCCCGCAGCCCCCGCCGCTCTCCCCGCAGCCCCGAGCGCGGCCGCGATGTTCGGGAAGCCGCGGGCGGGCAGCGAGCGGGGGCCGCCCGGAGCCCCCCCCGAGTGCAACGTGGCCATCGTGGGATGCCGCGGAGCCGGCAAGTCGGGTGAGATGGGGCGCCCCGACGGCATGGGGATGGACGGCACCATGGCATGAGGATGGGAGTCCTGCGGCACGGGGATGGGAGCCCCACGGCATGGGGATGGGAGCCCCAYGGCATGGGGATGGGAGCCCCACAGCACGGGGATGGGCAGCGTGATGGCACAGGGATGGGCACCGCGGGGCTGGAGACCTGCGATGGAAACTGAGCTCTGCGAGCGGGTGCCAGGGCGGCAGCTGCCTCGGCAAGGGGTGTCTTGCCCGCCTGGGAGGAGGAAAAGGCTTCTCCGACGTCGCTGCTTGCAGCGGGAGGTTGCCTCTCCCTGCGAGCGATCGCAGCCCTCCTGTTGMGCTTGCTTGCGGTGCACGTAGCCGTGCGGAGCATCCGCGCCATGGACAGGGTGCTCCTGTTGCATGGGAGTGGCAGGATGGGAGCATCTGTGCTGTGCACGGGATGCTCCTGTTGCATGGGAATGGCAGGATCGGAGTGTCTGCATCRTGCACAGGGTGCTCCTGTTGAACGGGAATGGCAGGATGGGAGCATGGGGCACTTCTCTTGCACAAGAAGGAGTTGGGTGTCGTGGGAGGACAGTGTGGGCCTTCTCTCAYTGTCACCCCACGGCAAACCCCACTCCGGGCATCTCTCCGGCTATAGGGCTGGATAGCGGGAATCCATTTCTATAAACATCCGAGGAGAAAACACAGCAAGTGCATTTTGAAAGCCGCTAAAAATGACCCAGAATTTTTTTTTTTTTTTTTTAATGTGTGTGCAAAGAAAACAAAGCAGCCTCCAGAGAACAGTCCTTAGGGAAAGAAAGCAGAGCTGAGGAAAGCGGCGTTTGTGCTGGAAAATTCCCATTCGTTCCGTAAGGGAGCAGAGCACGACCTTTCCTCTGGGAGCCGGGAGCCTGCCAGGCCACGCTGGGAAAGGGCCGGGTCCCCGATAGCAGCGGTGGGCTCAAAACACGGGGAGCTGCTGCATGGGGCCCTAAGGAATCACCAATTCCTTCTGGTCCAGAATGAAATCACATGTAAAATCCCAAATTTTCCCTGAAAGAAAAATTTGCTCCAAGCCCCTAGGGAAGAAACCAGCAGCAAAGCAAGGTGAGGGCTCCATGGCACCTCTCCCAGCTCCCAGGTTGGTGCTCGGGCCATGTTTCGATGGGAATTGTGCTGGGCTTTGGCAAATCACTTATTCCGCACAACCTGCACTGAAGAAGCTTTGCAAAATGTACAAAATGTGCAAAATGTTCAAAATTTCCCTGGCAAGAAGGCTCTTCTCTACCCAGAGCTGAGAATGATAGTGCAAACATGGCAGGGAAAACTGGCTTTAGGGAGGCTTTAATTCCCTGATGGGAGTGATGCTGCACGCGGGGAAGCTCCAGGGCACGGACACAAAGGGGCCGGAGCCGTGATCCGTCTGCTCTCCCCTTTGCAGCGCTAACTGTGAAGTTTCTCACCAAGAGGTTCATAAGTGAATACGACCCGGACTTGGGTGAGTTTTTCCTTTGCTCTTTTTTTTTGTGCTCATTTCCTCCGATTTTCCATGTCCACCATCCCCGTGTCCCCAGTCCCCAGCTCTATCCCAGCTCTCTGCGAGCCAAGTGCATGGGGCCGCTTCCCTTTCCGTCTGAGAAAACATCCCCGCTCCGCATGGATGGCACCTTCCCCATCTCCCGGTTTTCCCACAGATATGGCATTTCAGAGGGAAAAAAAATCATTGGAAAACTGAAAATAGCCTGGAGAATATTCACGGAGCTGACCCGGAGCAGCCTGGAAAGCCAGAGCTCGAGGGGAGGGAGGCCGGAGCAGCGGCGCAGCTCGTCCTGGCCGCGATGTCCCCAGGGCCACCCCTCACCCAGGGGCTTTAGGGACATTTCTTTTTCCTGCTTGGGTTTCATTTGAGTAATTGGTAACTGTTTTCCTAGGCCTTGTTCCCGCAGGCAGCGCTGTCCGTGATTTATCGGGGATGATAGCGAGATATGGAGCTCCTCCAGGACCTGGCTGCAGCCCCTAAGGGCTCAGCGAGTTGTGCTCTTAAAAATAAAAGGCRGGGGAAAAGGAAAAATCCTTTCCACAGATGTCATTTGGGAATGTGGTTGCAGAGGCAGCGGGGGCTCCGCTGTCTTCCCACAGAAAATCCTCTCTCGGATGCGCASTTAGGGATGTGGCCGTAGGGAAAGGATGGGGCTGGAGGCTCCCAGCTCATGGCACTGCATTCAGAGCTGCGCAGGGAACCCAATTCCCAAAGGAATGAGGGAATAAATGAGCAGTGGAAAAAGGGACGGAGCTTTTCCCGAGGGTCTTTTCCCACCCTTTCCAAAAGGCCTAAGCAGCTGGGGCTCCGCTTCTCCTTGCAGAGGACACGTACACGTCGGAGGAGCTGGTGGACCAGCAGCCGGTGCTGCTGAAGGTCATGGACACGGCCGACCAGGTGAGCAAAAACCCGKCCCAAATCGGGGCAAATCGGCTCCTCATGGGCGGGTAAATCCTCATTTYGGGGCTGTGTCACCCAAACGTGACCCGCGGCTTTGGCGGCGCCCAGGACGGCCCCGTGAACTGCGAGCGGTACCTGCGCTGGGCCAGYGCCTTCCTCGTGGTCTACAGCATCGAGGACAAGCGGAGCTTCGCCGGCTGCCGCCGCTACCTGGACGTGCTGGCCGCGCACGGCGGCGGCTGCGCGCGCGCCCGCCCCGTGCTCCTGCTGGGCAACAAGCTGGACATGGAGCCCTACAGGTAGCGCCCGGGGGTGCTAACAAAACGGGGGGGTTGATGAGTTGTAGCGACGGGGTTTGCCACGCTCAGCCAGCGTGCAGCTCCTTGCTTGTTGCATCCTTGCGGTGCCCTTGCTGCATCTTCGCTGCATGCTTGTTGCATGCTTGTTGCATCTTTGCTGCATCCTCACTGCATCCTYGCTGCATCTTTGCTGCATCCTCACTGCATGCTTGCTGCATTCTTGATGCATCCTTGCTGCATCCTCACTGCATCCTTGCCACATCCTCGCTGCACCCTCGTGGGTTCCAACCAGCTGTGCCAGGTTCCCACTGACCTCTCCATGTCCCTCCAGCCGTGGTGCATGGCTCTAAGCGGAGATTTGGGGGTTATTTTCACCCGTTTGGGGTGTGGATGTGGTCCTGCACGTCCCCGTCCCCTGCTCCSCTTGGGCTGTAGCCACACTCTGATCCCACAGCTCTTTCCCGCGGGAAACACTTGGGCCGCGTCACGCTGCAGCGCGGCGCAAAAACGCACAGAAAAATAAAAAAAAAAGCCAAAAAAAAAGAGCCGCAGCCAGCGTGTTGCCCCGGCAGGCAGGTGACCAAGGCGGAGGGGCTGTCGCTGGCGGCCGCCTTCGGCTGCGCCTTCTTCGAGGTGTCGGCGTGCCTGGGCCACGAGGCCGTGCGGCACGTGTTCCACGAGGCGGTGCGCGAGGTGCGGCGCGCGGCCCCGCGGCGCCCGCTCGCGCTGGCCGAGG